CGAGCTCGGAGTGAGTCTGGCAGCCGCAGTGATGGCGAAGGCGAGCCGCGTTTTCGCGACGCCCCCTCTCGCGGCGGCAGCGTACGGCTGCTGGCGGAGAGACAGCCTGGCGCCCTCTACGACGAGGCGATGCAGAACATCGCGCGCGTCATGGGCCTGCGGGAGGGGGCGGACGGTTCCGAGACGAGGCCGAAGGTTGTTGGGCATTTGCAGGCCATCGTGTTCGGCCACCACCCCGTGTCGCAGCTGCGCGTCAACACGGTGCGAGAGCCCCAGACCTTGGCGACGGCGCTGGACCCGTTGGAGAGCGGCTCTTTGCCGCAGCTGAGCGACGTGCTGATGCAGAGGTTCAAGGCTCTGGAGCTCTCGCTGTCGGACGCGGGCTGGCAGGTTGCCAGCGAGCTCGAGATCGTCCCGGACGTGAGGCCGTCGCTGGCGTCGATGGACGAGCAGGATCTGGCGCGGCGCTCGGCGCTGCTGAGGAGGCGCTTGGAGGAGGCCAAGAGCCGCGGGGCCTTCGGGGCGCTCGGCCGCGGCCAGGGGCGCGGGCGACCCGAAGAGGGGGCGCGGGAGGACCAGCGGCCGCGCTCCCCCTCTCGAGCCGCGCTCCATCCAGCCCAGGAGCTCTCGCGCGGCAAGGGCAAGGGTCGAGGTCGCGGGCGTTTCCGCTACTTCCCGCTCCGAGGGAGCAGCCCCGCCCAGGCTCCAGAGTCGCCGGCGGCAGCGCCACGGGCCGAGGAGGCACCCGCCGCAGCGCCCTCAGGCCCCCGCGCGCGGACTCCGTCTCCCCAGACGGAGCGGACCCCACGGGGAGACAGCCCTCACCCGCGCCGAGTTGTGCTAGCGGGGAGCCCCGAGCGCCGCACCTTCAGGCAGGACGAGCCAGCGGCGGCGGCGTCAGCTCCCCTGGGAGCAGGGCGCGGTCGCCCGAGACGCCGCGGCGGGAGGGGACGCAACGCAGGGAGGGCCAACGGCTCGCGGCCCCGCCCGCCTGGCGGCCGCGGGACTGGCCCCCCCGGCGGCGGCGCGGTGAAAGCCCGTGGTGACGATGCCCCTGCTGATGACGCCCGGGACGCAGCAGCCGCTTCATTGCAGGCTGCTGCGCCGTGCGGACCGCCTGGGGCCTCGCCGTCGCGTTCGCTATCTGACCACTGCGCTGCGACCCCGCTGGAGTTGCCGCCTGCCACTGCTGACGGGAACTCTTCTCGACACGATCCACTGGAGGACAGGAGAGGGCTTACTGGGGCTGCTGGTGACTTGCTCCGTGAGCCTTATGACGTGGGCCCGATCCTTCTCAACCTCGCCAAGGACTTCCCTGGTTCATTCGGTCGCTACTTCCGTGACTCTCTCGAACCTCAGCTGCGCGAGCACATGGCCACCATGGGAGGTCGGCGGCAACGTGACTTGCTGCCGTTACCGTACCCTACCATCGTGAAGACCGACGTCGCGTGCGACGGCGTTGACCTCAGCGACTTGAACTGGGAGAGGCCCGACGGCAGGCTGGTTGTCACGGTGCTGGCGTTCATCGGGGAGGCAGGTTTCCGCTCGCCGAAGTTCGCGCGCCTCTGCCGCTTGCGCCCGAGCGCTGCTCAGCGGGCAGCCTGGGCTGCCCTGAGGCGCCCCCTGTACCTGTCGACGCGCATCGAGGCCAGCCTGCTTGCAGGGCTCAACTGGGAGGACTGCCTGAAGGACTACGAGGACGGCTACGGCGGCGCCGAGATCACCACCCCTCATGAGCTGGCCTTGGGGCAGGCGCTGGACAGCTTGCCGCCGCCTGGGGTTGCGGCCTCGACTGAGGCTGCCGAGGTCGCGACGGGCTTCGTGCGCGACTCGTTGCTGGATTCTGGACTGGTGCTGCTGCCGCCTGCGCTGGGCCGCGCGGCGCCGACTTTGGCGCGGGCCCACGACGCCCCTGTCAAGTGCCAGGACGGGGCGCTGTGGCCCGTGCTCAGGCTCATCTCCGATCTGATCCCGTCGAACGCCTGCCAAGAGTGCATCAGTGGCGGCGCGCCCGAGATGCCAACGATGAGCCAGCTGAACGGCCTGGTCTTGACGGACTCTGAGGCCCTGGTGTGGAGCGGCGCCGACGTGAAGGCCTTCTTGTTCTTCTACGCCTTCCGCACATTGCCGCCGTGGTGGCCGCGCATGGGGATCGGGCCGCCAGCGCCGTCGCGCCTGCTGGGTCTCAAGGGCGGCGGCACTGTCTACATCTGCCTGCGCGTGATCGGCATGGGCTGGCTCAGCGCGGCGGGTGTTGCGACTCATCGTCATCGCAACGCACTGCGTCGCAGCGGCGCGGTGCCTCGCGGCCTGTGGCCCGGCTGGGGGATTACCCGGCGCCGCCGCCTGCCGCTTGATACAGAGAAGCCCCGCCCGCCTGCCTGGATGATGATGGGCAACTTAGAGATCACCGAGGCCGTTGACAAATCTGAGGCCGACAAGCTGCGCGGGGCGGTCCCCGGGCTGCTGTCTGACGCTTGTGCCTGCTACGAGGCCACAAGGTCGCCTGGGTCCCAATGCGAGGACGTACACCGCGTGGTTCGCGCTGCCACGCTGGGCGAGCTTGTCGATGGCGTTGAAGATGTCCGTCGGGCGCCGGCGGGATGCATCGCTGCGAAGGCCAGCTTCGCGCCCTGGGTTCTGGGCCAGAGGCGGGCCAGCATGCAACTGGAACGTATTCTTCCTGGGCGCTGGGGTCGCGGGCACTGCGTCCGCCGCCCGCTGGCCGCGAGCTTCGCTTGCACTTGGAAGTGGCTCAACGACCCGGGCTGTGGAGGCCACTCCAGCGTGAGCTTGATCGAGGACTGGCTGATGTGCCTGGCCTTGTCGGGGCGCTGCGTGGTCGACATGTGGCTCGAGGTCGACCGCCTGGTGACGGCCTCGGACGCGTCGGAGGTCGCTGGCGCCGTGGCGTGCAGCGCGGCGCTTACCGAGCGTGGGCGCGTCGTCGCGGGCAGATGCCAGCTGCCCGCGATCGCCGCCGGCGAGGCGGAGACCGCCCTGATCACCGTCTTTGATGGCATCGGCGGCGGGCGCGGAGCCCTCGAGATGCTGGGCCTGGTACCAGTGGTTCACCTGTCGTTTGAGGTTGACCCGCAGGCGGCCCGCGTTGCGCGGCGCGCTTGTGCTGGCACGCACCTCAGGGATGTTACATCTGCTGACCGTGCTGCCTTGGCTGGCCTACTGCGGGCCCGCGGCCGCATCGCCCGCGCGGTGGTCATCGACGACTTCGCGTGCCAGATCTGCACGGGCTTGAACGTCGAGCGCCAGGGCGCGTCGGACTCGCGCGCCTCGCTGGTCGATCACGTGGCAAGGATCATCCGAGGTTTGCGCGCCGCCATGCCCGAGGTGAGCTTTGACTTCCTTGGCAAAGATATTGCATTAGTGGCAGAGTCCGACGTCCCTTACCTCTGCGGGTTGTTCGAGGGAACCCCCCTGGAGGTCGAGACTGGTGACGTTGGCTGGGTGGGCCGTCCTCGTCTCTCCTGCCCGTCCTGGAACTTCCTGCCGTCGTGCGAGGCCGAGACCGTGATGGTGCTGACCGAGGACGGGGCCTCTCACCGCCTGTACCGCGTGACGCTGGAGGTGGAGCGTCCGCCGCTGGGGGAGTGGCTGCCGCCCTACCAGTTCCATGACAAGTGGTGCACTGATTGGCCTGACGGACGGACCAGCAGTGAGGCGGAGGCCGAGCCCGTCAAGTACGAGGGATTGAGGCGTTCGCTGGTCGGCAACTCGTTCCAGTGCGTGGTGGTGGCGATCCCGCTGGCGCACTGGGCTGCCGCTGCTGGGCTGCTGGTGGCGGTGCCGCCGCTCTCCGAGCTGCACGAGAGCGCTCGGGCCTGGGTTGGCGGGCGCAAGCTGTGGGGTGGCGACGTCACCTCGCTGCGATGCAGCCGTGTGAAGGTCGGCTTGGAGGTCTTCGGCGAGCTGGCGGCGGGCGGGAGCCTCGTCTACGTCGTGCGCGGCTCGCGGCGCTGGAGCCTCGCCCCGCCCTGTTTCGAATACCCATTCGCAGTGAGCCCGAGCCACTCCCGCGAGGACGCGGTGGTGCTGCTTGCTGGATGGCCGAGCGGCCTGCCCGAGCTGCTTCGCCACCTGGGGGACCTGCGCGGGGCCAAGCTGGTTGGCCGCTGCAGTTAGTCCAAGACATTTCATGCAGATGTGCTGCTCGCAGCGCTGGCCAGACGAGATGCTACGTCCTGGTGTGATTCGGATGTCTCGCGTAGGCTGGTGACCAGTCTTGTGATGACGTGCCACGGTGATGGTGCGAACCTTCGTTGTGACAAAGGCTCTGAGGAGCTCAGCAAAGTTTCCCTTCGGCAATTGATTGATTCAGGTCTTTGGCAGTGGCGTAAGGCACGAGAGCTGGTGCGGGATCTCCCTGAACATGTCCATGTACTGGAGTGGCAGGGAGCGCTGACGATGATTCGATGGTGTGCTCAAGCTTTGGGCCGACAGCAGCGAGTCTTCCTGCACCTCCTCGACAGCATGGTCAACATCGGTGCTCTCTCGAAGCACGCACCACCCCAGCAACAGTCAGCTCAGCAAGGTTGCGCGCAGCTTCTCGGCCGAGGTGCTAGCGATGGGCGCGCGGGCGGTGTTCAGCTTCTCCTCATCTGCTCTGAACCCCGCGGACGCGCCGGCGCGCCTGATGCATGGGGAAGCAATCTAGCCCCGCCGACAGGCGCACAACCAGAGCTGGGCTGGGGAAGCTGCGGGATGCCCGGATCGGCGCTGCCACTCTCGCCAGATACCGTCGGGCGGCCCAGCAGTTTGTTGACTACCTTAGCGCCATGAACCTGCCGTTGCCGTTCAGTTGGGAAGACATGGATGTCACATTACAAGACTACCTTGAATACTTGTGGGCCGAAGGTGCCACTAAAGGTCAAGCTAACGATACACTGAGTGGAGTACAGCACCTGTTGAGGACGCGCCGGCAGTACCCAGGCGCGTGGAGATTGCTGTCAGTCTGGGGGCGCCTGGAGTTGCCGCAGCGTGCGCTACCGATGCCGCCGCTGGTGTGCAGCGCGCTCGCAGGCTGGGCGCTGGGCCGCGGAGAGATCGCCTTCGCCGCGACGATCCTCGCCGGCTTTCACTTCTGCCTTCGGACAGGCGAGGCTCCCGGCCTCTCCAGCGGCGTCATCCAGCTCAAGCCTTGCGGCAGAGGCGCGGTGTCGTTGCCCTGGACTAAGACAGCCTGTCAAAAGGGAGCACGAGAGACGGTGACAGGAGCGGTCGTCCATATGCAGCTGCAGCGCGACGGCCGTCTGTGGCCCTCGCCTCCTCGTGCCTTCCATTTGCTTTTCCGCACTGGCCTGCGAGAGATTGGTTGCGCGCATCTCGGCCTCGTCCCATATAGCTTGCGTAGAGGCGGGGCTACGCACGAATATTTGTTCTCAGACGACTTGCCTGAAGTGGTGCTTCGAGGTCGTTGGAGCTCAATGAGGACAGCGAAGATTTATATTCAAGATGGGGCCGCAATTTTGGCCGAGATGCGGTTTCAGCCTGCCACCCGTTCCTCGCTCCAGACATTCACAGATGCCTGGATTGCCCGTGCGCGGGCGTATTGTAGCAAATAACTTCGAATTTTGGCCAGGTGCGACTCTCCAGGGAGCTTGTGGGCGGCTTTCAGCCATATTTTGGAACACATTGGAGAGCTTTTTGGAGAGCTTTTTCGGGTGTTCTTGGAGTGGAGAGCTTCTCTCGGGCTTCCTGGCACAGCTTGGTGCGAGTCTGCTCCCTCTCGAGGCCCACTTGGAACGGCGTTCTGACCCCGGTCGTTGGACGACGGTGGTACACTTGAGGTGTGATTCCTGCCGTGGCCTCGGGGTGAGTCTTGGGGCTCGCACATGCTGGTGCCGTTGTCTCGAGGCATTCGAAGCTCTGTCAACAGCTTTGGCCAACGAGTAGAGGGAGTAAGAATAGGCGAAGCCCAGAGTGAGTGACAAACGTGAGTTGTGGCTTCCCCGTTATTCCCGATGAGCTACCGCTCTAACCCCCGCCTGCACACACATGAACACGTCTACGGTCAATGTGTGGGCGAAGGGGTAATGAGCGAACGTTGGCCGCATCAGAATGCATGGCAGCCTTTGTGGCCCGCCCACATCCGCCCTGTGCCATGCCGTCCAGGCATCTTCTCTGCCTGGCCTTTCTGCCTCGTTCAGTCTCGCGAGAGCTTCTCTCGGGCTTCTGGGCACAGCTTGGTGAGAGTCTGCTCCCTTTCGAGGCCCACTTGGAACGGCGTTCTGACCCCGGTCGTTGGACGACGGTGGTACACTTGAGGTGCGATTCCTGCCGTGGCCTCGGGGTGAGCCTTGGGGCTCGCACATGCTGGTGCCGTTGTCTCGAGGCATTCGAAGCTCTGTCAACAGCTTTGGCCAACGAATAGAGGGAGTAAGAAGGGGCGAAGCCCAGAGTGAGTGATCAACGTGAGTTGTGGCTCCCCCGTTATTCCCGATGAGCTACCGCTCTAACCCCCGCCTGCACACACATACATATGGCGATGATGATGATGATAACGAAGAAACTGATGCTGATGATGATGGTGATGGCGGTGATGAGGACGGTGGTGATGCTGATGACGATGACTGTAATTTTGGTAATGATAATGATCATGGTGTTGATGATGTTGGTGAAGCTGATGATGCTGCTGATGACGATGCTGGTGGTGAATACGATGTTGATGATGATGATGATTATATTGCTGATGCTGCTGATTATGATAATGAGGGTGGTGATGAAGATGATGATGATGATGACGACGATGATGATGGCGATGGTGGTAATGATGATGATCAGATGCTGATGAATATGATGATGATGCTGATGTTGATGATGGTGATTATGAGATGAGAATGATGATGCTGGTGATGGTGATGACTGATTATGATAATGATGATGCTTTTGATGATGATGATGACGACGAAGATGATGATGCTGATACTGATGATGACGATGATGATGATGATGATGCTAATGCTGATGGTGAGGGTGAGGACGAGAATTAACATGAGGAGGAAGAGCAAGTGGAGGAGGAGGATTATGCTAATGATGATAATGGTGAGGGTGATGATGATGCCCATGCTCATGCAGATGATCATGATGATGACGATGATGATAATGATTATGCTGACGATGATGCTGCTGACGATGATGATGATGATGATGATGATGATGAGGAGGAGGAGGAGGAGGAGGAGGAGGAAGAGGATCCTGATGATGATGATGATGGTGATGGTGATGATGGTGATGATGACGCTGGCGATGGTGATGGTGATGGTGGTGGTGATGATCATGATGAGGATGATGGTTGTGATGGTGATGACGACGACGAGGATGATGAGGGTGATGGTGATGGTGATGGTGATGGCGATGGTGATGATGGTGATGGTGATGGTGATAATGGTGATGATGATGGTGATGGTGATGGTGATGGTGATGGTGATCATGAGAAGGAGAAGGAGGAGGAGGAGAGGGAGAGGGAGGAGGAGAGGAGGAGTA